GTAATTTTTGCCATTTATTTCTACAAAATTACTATAGTTTTATCGTTCATTAAACCTCAAAAATTCCTTTGACAAACTTTAAAAATTATAAAAATCCGAATAACCGTTTAGGAGAATTATCAAATCATACATCCGCACAGAAGAGTTATATATAAGATATATATATATATATATATACAGTGGCGTCGGAACCAAATTTTTGATGGGTGGGCTCGTTTTTTTTAGATAGACAGCTAGTGGTCTCATTTTTTTTTAGAGATATTAGCCCATATAATTTTTTGAAATTGATGGGTGGGCTGAGCCCCCCCACACGGCCCCCAGCCCACACAGCCCACACGGTTCCGACGCCACTGTATATATATATTTATTTATTTATTTATTTATTTGTGAATTATTAATAATTGCAGCCCGTTACAAAATTTTAAAATATAAATGCGGCCAGCCCTTGCCCTTGGTCAAGTATTTAACATACGTACTTCCATTCGTGCTCGTGCGATCAATATTTATGCAAGAAAATATGGTTTAAACATAAAACAAAAACCTATTGGACGATTAAGATAATTTATTGTTTAGGATAAATTAGTGTATAAATATATAGCGCTTTACAAACATTGATAAACGTTCCTTCTCACGAAGAGTAATTTGGGATCAAGTATTAATTTACTTGATTTTTATTTGCGTGTGATATTAAAGCGACTTAGAATGCTTTTTCATTAAACTTTCATCAAGATAAAAATACTTACAAATATGTCCTTTCAATACAAAGAAGAGTTTGCTATGACTTACTAGAAACTAGAACCTTGGGAACTAAAAGTGAACTTATTGATCAATTATCCGATAACATAGCTGAGTTTAACATAATATGTTTCAAATAGGCCACGTTGTATGATTTGCTATTTTTGGTGCACCTATTTCATTAACTTCCTGTAGGATAAGTTATTGTAATCGTCCAAAAACCGAAATTGAAATTCTCTCTTCTCTCGAAGATACGAAACAAAGAGTGCAGCAAATACGAAATCGAGTTTTTGTGAGAGTGGAGCTCCGATTTGAATGATCCAAAAAACATTCAATTCGTAATGATAGGGAGAAGTGGTGATTAGTTTTTGGCAAAGGCAGGCCCAGCCGTTTTGGAGATACGGAGCTAAATGTGCAAAAATGACAGTTTTTGAGAGAATTAAGCGTCCGATTTGAATGATTTACAAAACTTGCTGCTTGTGTTAACGAAACGATTGCTTTCGGAAAAAAAATTCTTTTATTTCATTTTTTTTAAATTTTCAAAAAAAAAAATTTGAATATCGAAAATAATTCAGATTTCAATTCTAATTCTAGCTAAAGTTCTGAAGCTCACTTACCTAATACCTACAATAAATAATTTAACTTTGCGATTCTGTATTATATAAACTAATTCTTATGAATATTAGACAATGTCCTTCATTTTAAAATCGATTGATCAAGTTTTGTTTATTTACTTTTCTGTAATAACATTCTGAAAGATACAACAGTATTTATAATAATCTTTATATTTTCTCGAATATTTTATTGCGGGACGCGAAGTTTCAGCAATTTGCCTTAAGGCACGATATCATACACCGCTAGTTTTATTAATTCATTTTTTCTCGATGTTGGCTCTCCTCAAAGTTTTAACATTCTGGTAGCAACAGGGAAATTCCTATACTAGACCTATGGTGTTTATTTGAATTTTTGATGCTGACAACAGCTTAAAATCAACCGTCAAATGTTGTGGTAAGGCTATGTTACGTTTCAGTTTTCATATAAAATGCTACTGAATACTGTCAAACGTCTTTTGCACATAAAATGCATCTTCACTCATATGTTATCAAGCTATATCTCAAAGATACAGATATGATAACATCGTTTTCTTTTACAGTTGTGCGTTTTCTAGGTAGGTTTTCTATCTAAAACGCTTGACTGCACAGCAACCACATAGGAATTTGGCAGTTTTTAGTACCACTTTATATGAAAACTGCTATACAACATAGGCTAGCCATAACATTGGTCTATTTTACTGCGAAATCGGCTGGATCGTACGTTAAGATTGAAATCTTATAACTCGAACCGGACTGTCAAACGGGCAAAATGAGCGTTGAAATTTCTGTTGAAAACTTGTTTCACAATGTTCAGCAAGCAAGGTATTATATTGTTCATCAAACAGAATATTGGCTCATTTTAACCAAATAATAGCAGAATCGAGTAAATTCTAGATATCGTAAAATTCAGTGCGTGTACTAATTCAGTCCTACAATAGACATTTGAGGAGCTGCTTCCTAAAATGACAGTTAATAGTGACCATTTATTACTCATATACCACAATAATTTTAATAGAAGAACGCATACAATTAAGACCATTCAATAATTTTGTCGCTAAAATACAAAGAGGGCTAAAGGCTATGGTCGCTTGTCCATACAAATTCTTTCGACTATTTACACGTCATTTTGTTTTTTAGAAAAAATCTGCTATGCCTATTATTAATTTCCTCGCGCATCATTTGTTCCGTGTTATCATTGAAAATATGCGTAAGGGGCACGTTTTTCACATTCATTTTTTTATAATCATAAAGGATTTTGTTTTGTATTTTCGAGCACTCTGGTTGTATTGACTACTAATTTTTACTGCATTCTAGACAATAAAAGAATATAATTTATTCACTTCTCAAGTTAAAAAAAGTATCTTCTAACAAATTCTGTACATAAGAGTATTGATTTATTATTACACTCGCCTACACATAAATCCATCCGTTTATATATGGTATGCTAAAATGATCAGGCCTAACAAAGTTTTCGAATTTTTAGAGATTTCAGGAACTTCAACAAGAAGTTCATATTTTTTTTGAGAATTACTATATTTGCTATGTTTTTCTTTTGTACATATGATCTCATGTTCACTTCAGATAACTACAATCGTTGAAGAATCTTGTAAGTTGACTGTAAAGGTTAGAAAACGACATTGATATTTTTGTATGAGTTTGAACGATAATTTCTATACTCCTTATGACTGTTTTGCTTGCTTTTTAGATTTTTATAATACTGTCGTATTACAGTTACCCTAACAGGATCTGTACATTGGTTTCTGTATTTTCGTATAGTTTTTTTCTTCTTCGGGTGTTTTCCCGTTTTATTTTATTTTCACTATATTTCATTATTCTGCACCAAATCACGAAATTCTGGATGTAACTTTTGTCTATATACATAGATGTATAAATATGCATATGCGTATACGTTTGTATGTATTTCTATTTATATATGATCATATATAAATAGAAATATATATATATATATATATATATATATATATATAAATATATATACTCTTCTTTTATCTGCGTATATGGTTATAATGAGTAGAAAGTTAAAAGTGTTCTAAACAAATATTGTAATACGAAACATTAAGAATTTTTACGCATAATATTCTGAAACACTTTTTAATATATACGCTACAGATAGAGAATTCTAAGGTTGACGTCATAGTTTCTTTTAGCCATTACATCAGCGCTCGTATAGTTTACGCGATCGTTAATAGTACGATGCGGACGAATTTCGGCGGTGATGTCGCGTGTCGTGTAAAACAGGGGCAGTCGACCTTGTTGATTGCTTCATCCACTTTTCAAACGTATAAAAGCCATATTTGATTACGCACGAAAACGTATTAAATTTGCTGTCACAAAAATTATTTATTGCAAAAATACAATAACATATAATTAACTAAAATACGATTCCATTGAAAACTAAAGTACTGCTGAGCTTATTCTTTATACAAAACAGCGACTGGCCGGCAAATGCATCATTGAATTTGCTCGCTTCAATGTGACTTTGAAATCGTAGATAACATCATTTTACGACATGTTCAATGTCATTGTATAGTGCAATACAATAGAGGACTTAGTACAATGTAGTGCGTATGATTCACTAAGAATCTACGTCATGTGTACTTTGACCAATTCATTCATAATATTTATTTATAATTATTACGAATGGGTGTCATACCCCTTACAATATATAAACATTAGTTTTTTTGTTTGGCGTTAAAGCATATCCTAGAAATGTTCATTTGCAGCCAAAAATAGTCGAAATAAAAATACGATATATGTGTGTCATCAACCAGCAAGTTAATAAGTTTAAACTGGGAAAAAGGGTTTCATTGTTAATTCGATAACCATGACACGAACTACATAATTTTTTATTTCTTGTATCATATCACAAGATCCAATTTGACTTTGAGCAATGATATTGTGAAAACCAAATAAGTTATAGCTGAAAAAATAACACGTATCAAACAAATAAGTAAAAATCTCAGCCAAATCATTATTTTAGAAATGTTATTTTTGCAGTTTTTAACCTGTTTCTCTTCATCTTATAGGCGGGGTCAACAGGTCCATTGTTAGATTTTAGTTTAAAGGGATTTTAAGAAATAACAGATACGTTATTCAATCGATGCAAAATATACATTTCCTGCGTACATTTTTTACTGACTTCGAAATCATACTTTTATTTTTTATTGTTTACGCCTTTGTAAGGGCAAAGGTTCAGTTGATATATATATATATATATATATATATATATATATATAAACATGACTATGACACACACACATATATATATATATATATATATATATCCAGCTCTTTGCTTATAACGGGTGCGCCATCTAAATTTTTTTTCCAACTAGTGCATATTTCGTACTACTGATGACGCATGGCTAGCCGAGGCAACCGTTTGAATGAAATTATCTCTCATTATTAACCGAAAGGATTATGCTTTCAAATAAAAAAAGAAATGGGAAAATGTTCAGTAGTTTTCTCGATAGCATTTTCAAAAGAAAGTTATTAGACGGACCATAATATGTATAATAACAGTTGTAATTTAGTTTATCTAAATTTATTTTAGTAAAGTATTGTTTGAATTTCTGTCTAAATCGTTGTTCATTTTAAAAACTTATTTTGTATATACATTTAATTTTAATTTAATTTAATTTGAAACTTCAGGCTAGACAAGAAATCAAAGGATTTGATCCTGGCTGAAAATAATGCTCGAATGTATGAGAGCAGATGTTCAGAACTCAATGGTAAATACAACACGGCTATATTAGAACGAAAAAAAGCAACGGATGATTGCAAGGTACATAATGGCATTATGGATTATAGAACATGATAATATATTGAGCAAATATGATTGGGTATTAATGTTATTTTACTATTTTTAAGGAATTAGAGAAAGAGTTGAACAAGCTCAGGAGACAATTAGAAGAACTTCGCAAAAATCTAGAGGAAGAAACATTAGCTCGTGTAGATGTCGAAAATAATTTGCAGAGTTTGAAGGAGGAACTTGCTTTCAAAGATCAGGTTCTTATAAATACCCTTATCATATTTCCGTTTGAATGGAGAAAATTTTGTAGTAAATATTTATTATTTTTACTTTTGCTATTTTAACACTCCTACAGGTCTATCAGCAAGAACTCACAGAAACTCGCAAGCGACGTCAAGTTGAATTAAGTGAAATTGATGGTCGTCTTGCGGAACAATATGAAGCAAAAATGCAAGAGACAATGCAGGAACTTCGCGATCAGTATGAAGGACAAATTAGTTCAAATCGCGCTGAAATTGAAGCCATATATGAACAAAAGGTAAACATTTCTGTCTGGTTTAATACTTTGAGGACGGGACGGTTTGTAGTAAACCGTACTAAAAACTGCCGCTTTAGTCATTTAAAATTGCCAACGCATATTTCGGGCACTCTAACTCAAATTCTAGCGCTCCAACTTGAATTCTCGACATATGTTATACTTATATACACATATTATCCACAGGATCGATGATGTTTATTTGTTCCTTAACTATTCAGTTTGGTTTATTTATATTATTAACATTGAGTTCCTTAGCTATCGACATGTATTTAGATGGGACACATAATGCGTTCCTCGGCTCTAATAACTGCCTTCGCCAAACGCATATTTGAGTTCAACCAATTTGATGATTGGCATAAAACGCATATATGCGACGCTCGTCCTCAAGGTGTTAATAATTCATAGTGAAAAAAATTATTCTGAATGTAAAATTGCATTTTTGTGTTACAAAAAATTGTCTTTAATGTGTTTTGTATACTTCTATATTTATCATGTTTACGATTATACCTTCAGGAGAAAATTAAAAAAAAAATGTAATAAATCTTGTTCTCTAAGGTGAGACTGAAAAATTGTATTCCAACATACACGCCCACACATAAATATTTTTTGTTTGTTTAATATTCTTCTCAAATGATGGTACTGAGATAGATAGATGGGAGTTTTTCTATTAAATCATAATCTTGTATTAAAGTAATAAAATACTAAGTACATACTCATTATAAATACATATCATAAACTTATTTGCACTTTGATTTACTAATTCTTAATACTCATCCTCCTCAGATCAAAAATTTACAAGGCATGGCTACTCGCAACAGTGGTGCTGCTACAGCTGCAATTGAAGAACTAAGACTAGCCAGAACAAAGATCGATGGTTTATCCAGCCGCATTAATGAGTTGGAGGCTTCATACAATGCTGCTAATGTGTGTAGACTATTTAAGTATATTCACGTACCACTTAAATTTTATCATTAAGATACTGAGTTTCTGAGTAAATTCTAATCAAATATTTCTAACTAAAGCTTTATTTGTTCACTATTTCAAACTTCCCGAGGGAGAAGTTTGTTTTCATCAAAAAATCCGATTCGCTAATTTTGTTTTCTTGACGTTTCAAGCCATTCTGAATTGAATAAGACCAAATTTGGAAAAAGTATGCGTGTGTGTGAACAGATTTTTTGCCGTAAATCGACGTTTTCTCAAAAACGGCTGGATCGATTTCAAAAATTTAAAAACCTCGACGTTTTTGCTCTAAATTCTGAATCAATTTTAAAAAATCAAAAACTGTTCGAAAGAAATTGGTTGGGAATGATACTAATTAGTTATAGGTAAAAATCTAACGGGCCGTTTTCTTGAAATTAACTATTGAAAATTTTTTTCGTCGGTATATATATATATATATATATATATATATATATATATAAAGCGAGAGGTTTTTCTTCAGATGGTGAAATAATATGATAAAAATTGTTTCTTGGGCATCCATCCAATAATTAAAAAAAACTGTAACGTGTAAACACGTAACTCTGTCTCCAAACGAACAAGATGTGTTTTTGGAATAAGCTTTTTTACAATAAAACATATTATTTATTTTAATTTTTACAATTTTCAAAAATTTTCATAACTTGATGTTTTTTCAATTTTTTATTTCATACTTATTTTTTCGTTGCATTTTTGTGTTGTTCTTTGTGTTATATTTTTTTTAAATTTATTTGTATGCACTGAAGATGGGTCAAATCTGGACCCGAAACGTATGTTCTCTTAATTAAAACATTTTGCATTAAAACTGTTTTTTTTTAATTATTGGATGGATGCCCAAGAAACAATTTTTATCATATATATATATATATAGAGTGTGTGTGTGTGATTTAGTTGTTAATTTTGATGTTGAGATATATGAGTAAGTTCTTGTGGGGCGATACATCAAAAAATAAAAATCAAAGATTTATAAATTAATCTTTCCAAACTTTTCCACATTCAATTTAATGTCATCATCAGTGAATATTAACGTTGGTAGGTTACATCTAAAGATGTGTACACATCACTAGAAATTAGCACTAACATTTATACATCTAACTTGTCAACACCATGAATTGTTTATCATTTTTTGTATGATGTAAAAAGAAAAATGAAGAAATGAAGAAAAAAGAATGAAATGAAAAAAAAAAGAATGAAATGAAGAAAAAAAGTTTTATTTGTACGACTTGTGTACTTTGCATGCTCCGAGGCTTATGACATTAAATTGAATGTCGAAACGTTTAGAATTAAAAATTAATTTATAAATCTTTGCTTTTTATTCTTTGATGTATTGCCTCCCAAGAACTTACTCACATATATATATATATATATATATATATATATATATATATATATATATTTGAAGTAAAAAAAATAAAAATATTAATTTAAGCTGTTATGGTAAGCAGTCAATATTTTACAGTATAATCACGAGATAGATAGCTGTTTTGACAGTGTACTAATTTTTTTACGATTTCATGAAAAATTTAACAAATTATCACTATATTTGTGCAACATGCGCCTTATAATTAGTTCATATTTAATCGCAGCAACGCATTAAAGAATTGGAAAAAATGCTGGAACACGAGCGTATGCGTCATTCTGATGATATGCGTGTATTAGAAGCAGAATTGACTCGTCTTCGCGAGGAAATGGCTAGGCAGTTGCAAGAATATCAAGATCTGATGGATATCAAGGTCAGCTTAGATATGGAAATTGCTGCTTATAGGAAGTTGTTAGAAGGAGAGGAAGCCAGGTCAGTATTATAAAACAATATGTACTGTAAAACTATAGATTGTCTGAAAGAGTTACAATTTGCAGTTCACACGATTTTATTAATACATTGATGTATTATAACACTTGGCATGCGAGCAACGTATTTTTACGTTTTTGTAGTCTCACTGGAGCGCGGGTAAAAATACGTATTTAGAATATTTGGTGTGGATACCTGCTAACCACTACAAATCTACTAAATACGAATAATTATATGCATGTGTATGACATTATATGCGTGGTGTTTGCATTTTTTTTCACAAGTTATTATTGTCAGTCTTTTGTTGAGTTATTTCGTCTTCAATCGAATTCCTAGCTCCAGAACGGACAAGTCGTGTTTTGTCAATTTGAGGCTTGTTTTTTTTATTGTTGATTACAAATTGATAAAATGAGCCGTTGTGACAAAGATAGTGATGAAGAAATATGCGCTGGCAGATTATCGGACTTTTCGTATGATAGTGTTCTGAAAGTCAAGAATTCTAAGAAAGCGACTATGATGATATTATTCCACGTTCTCGAGTCTTCGTCCGAAGCAAAATTCTGAAATAACTTCAAAAAGTGCAAAGTGAAACATGTTTCTTATGTAGCTTCTGCTGTGTTCCTCTTCACAGAGGATAATGCTTCGAATGGTACCATACTGTAAAAAACTATTAGTTATCGGTTCTACTTGTACAGGTAAAATAAAAAAAGCTCGTTCATAAAAACGAAGTAGTGTTCGATTTTTTGCGATCCTTTTGAATAACCAAATGTGGTATAAACCACATTATAAAGATCCGTAGCCTTTTATACCAAAAAGGACATAAAAACTTTTTAAAATTGATCCCTCATGGCAGGTCAAATAAATTAATATTCTTATAATATTCTTGATTTGTATTTTCGCCGGCTTTGCGACACGAAAAAACGCCCGCTGCACGCGTAATTCGGCGGCGAAGTATGCCCGCATGCCAAGTGTTAAGTTTATGTTATTGTTCTCATAACATAATTTTTTTTTTGCTTTACTACCATCTATGTTTATAATGGAACATTTGTAAGAGTTGACGAACTTTATTCTATTTTATAAAATACAGTCCACACATAGGTTATACAGATACATTTATATAGATATGGATATTTATATAGGTTTTAAGTCTATTTGTAATTTGATGGATTCTTAGAATTTAATATGTAATGATATGTACTGTGATACACAAAATCAATAATCTTCATAATTAATTTAAAATTACCATTATATTTTTATTATGAATAGATTGAACATCAGCCAACAATCAGGATCGGGAAAGTCTGAGGCCGGTCGCAGCACCCCCCTGATGTCACGTCGTCCTCCATCACGCCTAGGTGGAAAACGTAAACGCACTTTACTGGAAGAATCGCATGAAAGCAGTCTTAGTGAATTTACGGAGCATGCAACCTGCAAAGGAGATATTGAAATAACAAAAAGTGACACGGAAGGACGTTTTGTTAAACTTACAAATAAAGGAACCAAGGTAAAATACTAACTTTTGAACTCCACTTAATTTGCTTGCACTATGTTACATATTTATATAATAAATAACATTGAAGACAAATTTCGAAATAATTCATAGAAATAATTCAACAATTATTAAAGGAGATTTACGTTAATTGTGATTTGCTAATAAAGCATCATTTCTGAAGATATGAGCTTTCAAGCAAACTTAGTTTGACTAAAAATCAATTGATACTTGTTACATGGGAAGGAAGCACAGTAAATTCTTTTATTTTATTATAAAATTTTTTAAAATAAAATGCTGTTATTTTCTACATTCCTGTATGAATTGCGAGTGATGTATAAATGTTTTTTAATAGGAAGTTTCTCTTGGTGGCTGGCAAATTACCCGAAAAGCAGGTGATGCTGAAACTGTGTTCAAATTTCACCGTACTCTCAAACTTGAGCCTGGAGCAAGTACTACGGTTTGGTCATCCGATGAGGGACAAGACCATGAACCTCCCAGTAATATAGTTATGAAGGGACAAAAATGGTTTGTTGGTGATAACATTAATACATCATTGGCCAACAGTAATGGAGAGGTAATTAATCGCATACATATATTATTTATCTTTAGCAAACACTATTTGCATATTTAAAACTTTTTTATACAAATATTATGTTAAATATGTACACAATAAATCTTAATAATATTTTAATGAAAATTTTTAATAACTTAATAATTAAATTTAATTAATTGGAATAATTAAAATAATTTAATTTGGAATTGATAATTGGAAAGTCAATTGTTTTGAATAGGAAATGGCAACATCTGAACTGGTGCGAAATAAGTTGGCGAGTCGTTCTTCACGCATGCGAGATTCTGGATTTAGATCTCTTGGGTCTGAAGAACTTTATCATCAGCAGGTATTTATTATAAATTTATTTTTTAATTGTCCACATTGTTGCGATTAGCTGTTGATCCAGTGTTTTGTGTAAAATAGATTTTGATATTTTAGCATATGAATTTATATCTTAGTAAATGAAGGGGCTGTTGATATATTCGTGTTTTAATTTTTCAGTCTTACAAATTGAAATATTAATCAATGTGTGCATGTGCCTAAGGATCCTTCTCGAAGTGATTCGATAAGTATGACGAATTTATATATTAGTTACCTGTTTGTACATGTATTAACAATTCATTTTGGTTTGGATATTTTTTTCATCACCGCTGGTCAGAGCACAGAGTTTGCAGTTTATATACCTTGGGAATGCATGTTTTAATATGCAATGACACTACACATAAAATATATATATATATCTATATATATATATATATATATATATATATATATATATATATATACCCAGACCTTGAAGTTAAGTCGGCACAAAGTGATACATTTTACTTCATTCAGTTTCAATGTTCCTCTCTAGCACATTGAAGGTTGCCATTTTTAACTTCCCGAAGAAGTTTGTTTTTATCAAAAAATCTGATTTATAATTTTGTTTTCTCGACGTTTCAAGACATTCTGAATCGAATGAGATCAAATTTGGAAGTGTGTGTGTGTGAACTGATTTTTTACCTTACATCGACATTTTCTCAAAAATTCAATTCACACATTCGATGTATTTCGATGAGGACTATCGTTTGTTCAATTCAATGAAACTTTTTATGTTGATAGACATCATGGTACTAAAGAACATACTAAAATATTACGGCCTTTCAAGTCGTAGAATTTTAAAAATGTATCAAAATTCAAAAAAATATGATTTGAAAGCCATTTTTTTAAACTAGCGGAAAAATAAGTTTACAAAACATATCTAGTTGTGTAAAAAATGTTACCATTAAATTAAATCATTAAATAATGTCGAGGACTGTGAATATTATATACGCAATCGTGCAGTTGAAAATTTTATTTAAATAGCTAAATCTCAATTTTGGTTGACACATTTCGGGAAGTTCCTTAAGGCAAAATGCTACTTTCAACTAGCTAGGTAATTGGGTTTTTACTTTTTTATTCGAATTTTTTCAATAATTAAATTATCAAGTATTTTATCATCTTACAATCCTGATAAAATGCCCCAATTTTTGATGAAATTTGCCACATAACACTTTAGTGGTTTTTTTTTTTAAGGGGAGGGCTGTTCAAAGTCGAAAATTGTGAAATTTTTAGATTCATAGTTCAACAATAAGTCTTAATTCTTGAAAACGTGGGGCAATTGTATTTTATTTTACTGTGATCCTAGAAGTGTTACGCACGGTTACGGTTCCAAAATTTAAATATACAAAATTAAAACAAATTCAAAGTATTAAAAGAAAAACTGAAAAATGGTTGTAATGGCTCATGATTCTCGAAGAATGGGAGATTTTTTTTTTTCAGTATAGTTAAGGACAATATTTTAACCCCGTTTCGACTTGACGTCAAGGTCTGGGACACCCTCAAGTTAATCGATGTGGATAATAAAATATCATTCATATTAAACATAAATTAAAAAATTATAATCATTTTTACTAAACGTTTTGAATCACCATAACCCTTATACATCCTTGTATTATAAGGTCTAAGCATATCATGGTAATATTGTTATTTTTTTTTTTTTCAAAATAAATATTTATTATGAATTTATTGAATGAATCAAACTTGTTATATGAATGAAAGACCCAAGATTTTATAAATACAGGTATGTTAAATAATCATTGGTAATGCGAACACCATTAAACGAAATTTATTATGGAAATAGGTTTTAATATAATAATGTGATTAAAATACCGGTTTTCATTGTTTATGAAGGGCATAAAATTACCTGTTACTTGCAAAGTATCTGAAAAGATAAGTTAGAAATGTATACTGTCTAGATATAACTACTCCCAAAAGCCACCGATTCTCAGAATTTAGATCGTTGAATTCTTGAAATTCAACATTTCGTCTCCTTTAAAACAATTCATATATCATATACATTATAAATTATCTACTTGATGATAATAAAAAATAAAATAAAACATCATATACTTGGAAAATAGTGAGATAAAATAATTTCAAATATTATCAGAATATCAATAAAAAACTGTTTATCTGATAATAATGTAATAATAATATATGGTAAGATATATAAATTCACAATACTACACATCGTTAATACGTCTAATCTTCGACATAATAAATGAAAAAAAAAAACTTGATTTATATATATAAAATTTGCGTTCGCGGTTTGAGAGTGGGTAGGGCCACCCGCTGCCCGCAATTATAGAACTGCCCGAATAACCAATAGAGCTGCTCGTTCCGCATAAAGCGTGCTTCTTCCGCATTAATTGTTCAAAAAAATCATTTTGTTAAAACTTTGTGATGATTTATGTTAATGCATTCCGAAATGCAAATCTTAAATTGGTCAACCACATGTGACTTATCTAATAAACCAATAATTCTGCTAATTCTACGTAATCAGAAACTTATCGTGGAGAAATATATAGTTGGTATCGCCAATTTTTCTCTTAACTTACAAGCTCCAGAATTATTCTGAACTAAGATTTCAACTTATAAACATTTGAATTTAAACTATCAGTTATACACGATTTTAAAATATTAAAGTTGAATTGGTGATTTCACTATATGTTAGCTTATTTTTTGGCTTCTATTGCACTTCAATCAAATCAAAATGTTTGTTATAAATGCATGCTTTGAGCATGTTGAATAATCTATAAAGTTTTAGCACATTATATACATAGGAGAACGTTTTAAGTCATTCTGAAAATATGATCTAATATTTTTATGTTAGATTTTTATATTAACCTGTATTTCAAAAAAAAAAAATTGCGTTACCCCAGGGTTATGATATCACAACTAGTTGCCACACTGAACTTGTTATGTACCAGTTTCTTAAATTCTTACAAAGGTAGATAATTGCACTCTATCCATGGTAAAAATTAATTCTATTTAAAATTTGCAGACAAATATTTATGAAATCAACATATTTTACTACTTCTGTTAAAAAGTCATGCAACGCATTATAACATACATTTCCGTTACAATATATATAGTATATATATATATATATATATATATATATATATATATATACACATATATATATATATATATATATATATCTACATATATATATATATATATATATCTACTTCTAAATGTATTTGAAAAAATAAGAGCATGATCTTCATATATTAATATATGCAAAGGGAAATAACAAGTACATTGATTTTTTCTTCTGACTGAATCCATTTACAGAAGTTTGTCATCAATGTGATTCAAATTATATTAACATGTTTTTTTTCTTAACAATACTATTATATATTTTATAACAATAAATTACCTCTACTAACAATGCTACTGTTCGATAGTTATCTATAATCATTCTGTTCTGCTTTATAAATCTTATTGTTTGGCATTATTGTTCTTTTTGCTTTTTTGTGAAATTATTCTAATTCTTACTATAATTTCAGGAAGATCCGCAGGCTGCCCAAGAGAAATGCCGAATAATGTAAAACTTGTACTACAAGATGTCTATCACAAAATTATACAGCTTTTATATTCTTAAAAAGAAAATAACTTAATTGAATAGTTATAAAATAAGTAAAAATTATGATTAGAGATTTATGTTGAAACATCATCTTTGGGTCATTTGTGACTCTCTAGAAATATTATATTAAGCTCATAGTACAAGTACAACATTAATTATATATAAGCGCGCATTTAAAATAAGAAAAATTCATGTTAGATTTAACTTTTATGAAAAAAGGTGCCTGGTTAAGTCATTTAATATATGTAATCAACTAATAACTAATTATTAAGCTAGAAAGTACTTTAAATCAGGTTACGAGTATGATTAATAAGATACTTCATAAGAATTTTTTTTTTAATTTAAATGTTGAAATATTCGACATTGCACAGTATGTCTTAAAATGTTTTAATATTATTTTTGCACATATATAATGTATATGTATATGTATATTAAAATTCTTGCATAGAGGATTTTTCTGATTGATTTAATTTAAAACACTATATTTTATATAAAATATCAGTTTATAATTCTAAACTGTAGCCAGTTTATTTTATCAGAGAATGCAGATGTTTAAATAGTATGCAATGTTTATAGAATAGTTGCGCTTGTTCTTCATTATTGTCAATAAAATTGATTTTCAATTGAAAATATTGAATTGTTTTTATTAAGAAAGAGGTATATAATATCTGCACAAACTCGATATTACAAATTATCTGATAAACTCGACTTTTAAGTATAGAATGTCTTGTGATTGTGTTCATCAAATACCTATTAGGATTTAAGTGTATGGAATTTATCTCAGAATAATATGTTATGAAACTTCTTAATATTCAATATTTCAATGTATAAAATTTAATGCGACTAAAAGAAGTGCTAGCAAGAAACTTCTACTAAAACCAGCATGTACCTGAATTAATGTGAGTAGGAAAACATTTAAAAATATATTTGTAAATATCCGCAATTTATTCATATAAAAGGATAAAAGTAAACATTAGAGACTTGTGAAACGGTACT